GTGACTTTACTCATGAACTGCCAAGTATTCTGTAGCACTAAAGTTATTATTGGTGAAGCAGTTTGTTTGGTACCTTAAATCTCCGAATAACTGGTGGCATCCCCATTGTCATTCTTCGCTTTAAGGTCGTATTTTTGTCGTCTCAGGAGTTGTTTGTTTTTAATCAATAAAAATGTTTCCTCTTAGCTATCAGTCATTCTTCCGCTTTAAGCTTTGTGCTTCTTGTTTACATTATTAAGATGATCTCAATGTGTCACCTTAACTCGTACCTGTTAGCTTTATCACATTGGTGTATATTTCATCGGAAGAATGCAGAACAAGTTGTTCAAACATGGGATAAGCAATTCCATAGTGCCCAAAAAGAGCAAAAAGTACCACTTCTATATCTTGCCAATGACATCTTGCAGAACAGCAAGCGGACAGGATCAGAGTTTGTTGGTGAGTTTTGGAAGGTTCTTCCAGCAGCCGTCAAAGTTGTTATGGAGAATGGTGATGATCATGGAAAGAATGTTGTTTCTAGACTGGTGAGGATCTTTACCTTCTTAATTACTGAAGAAAGTTGCTGCAAGTATGCTTGACCTGCTCATATAATATTGCTTCTGCGCTTGTAGTTTATTTTACTATAAAGTTACTTATAAATTGGTGTTGCTTCGGCCACTGAAATTTACCATCGAATGCAAGTTCTGTGAGGCTAATTGCCTTTTGAGATCTCCTCTCATGTAATGCCTTTGCTACGAAATCTATTTGTCCTTTAATTATGCTGTCCTTCTTTCCTTTTCTTCGAGAATTTGAGAAGTTGCTGGATGGTTGCTTGCGTATACCTGCCTGGCTGTTAAAGGTTTTACAGAAAGACACCTACTAATTGTAGTTGTATTTGTCTGCAGGCCAGCACATAATGAGTGTTGAATTTGTTGATAGCTGTTGTGGAACTTGTAAAATTGTTCCAGGCCAGCACATAATGAGTGTTGAATTTGTTGATAGCTGTTGTGGAACTTGTAAAATTGTTCTGCAGCTTTGAGAACCTATAGTTACCATGTGTTGTGGAACTTGTAAAATTGTTCTGCAGCTTTGAGAACCTATAGTTACCATGTATGGATAAGTTAACAGCATAATCATGCCTCCTAGAATCCAGCTGTACCAGCACGATTCATGTTTGTTATATAGGCACATCCTCTTGTTTTTTCCTTCTCTTTGCGTACGTATATAATTTTAAATCTTGGACGTGTTATTTTCTGATGCGTTAAGATCTGCGTATGCTATTGCTCATAAATTGGGGGTTGATAGTTGTTGGTATAATTTACATGCTTATCCTTTTGATAGGCATAGTTTCACATACGTCCGTCAAAAGTTCCTTCTGAAGCATCTGTAACTTTTCTTGGTGTGTTAGACACAATTCTTCTCATGTGTATGTTTCACAAAACTGATAAAACAGTTACCTACCTGCTCTTAGGTAAGTAAGCATCTAGTGTTTCGCTGCAAGTCAATTATTTCCCATTGTAGTGGGGAGCCTTACCTGACTAGCACATTTACCTTGAAAAAAAAATACTAACTCTTGATTTTATTTTTACCTATTGCTTAATATTTTTAGGTTAATATTTGGGAAGAAAGAAGAGTTTTTGGATCTCGTGCACGAGGCCTTAAGGATCTAATGCTTGGCTCTGAACCTCTCCCTGCATTGGAATTGAATAAAAAGCGCTCACGTTCTGGTTCTGTAAAGATCATGAGAAGAGATTCGCGCTCTATAAAAACAGTAAGAATTCAATCTTCAATTTCTCCTTTCTGCTTAGTATTTGTTGAGCTCTCACTCAGGCTTGAAGAAAGTGCTTGATCAATGTTTCTGAACTTAAACCAGAAATTGTCTATTGGAGGAACAGCTGAAAAGATCGTCTCTGCACTTCATACCGTGCTGAGCGAACACCCAGACGAGGATACAGACCTGGAAAAGTGCAAGAATGCAGTGCGTCGTCTAGAAAAGATGGAGAAGGATGTTGAACTAGCTTGTGCTCGAGGTAGCAAGAATATTTTACTATTGTCTAGGATTGTTAAAATCTATCTGGTATCTATTGATTGGTCATAGAACTAAGAATAGAAACTATTTTGGACTAAACAGTTGAAAATAATTGGACATATAGATGAAAACTCGCCCCATTGGACATTCATTTATTCATTGCTCTTATATCGGAAGCCTATTATGTGAGAACTGAGCTAATGATTTGTAATAAATGATTTAAAACTAATATGTTAGTATGCTAAACATAAATAATGTTTCCCACATATCGTTGACTTTGAATTTGTTTCAGTTTTGGCTTAAACCATTCTAAGATAATTATATCCTATCAATTGTTGGACACATATATGAAAGCTTGTCCTATATACTTATGCGTTTAGATTTTTCCTGTTATATCTGAGGCCTATTAAACTGAGCTAGTGACTTATAGTATAAATGATCAAAAAACTGATTGTATTTTATGTTAAACATAAATAGTGTTTCCCACATCTTGTTGATTATGAATTTGTTTGAGTTGTAGCTAAAACCATTCCTTTCATAATTATATCCTATCACTTCACAAAAGATCATCACCACTTGTTCCCATCAGAGTAAAGAGTTACCGAAATGGATAATAAAGTATGCATAAAAGATTAGACTAATGACCACTAGGTTCCGGTAGTTGTGTATGTCAGAAATTATAGGAACTAGGTAATTCAGAAATATTAATGATGGAGTTATATCTATAATATGATAGGATAATCTGAAATTGGTGGACCTAATTGAAGTCAATCTGAATGAGAAAAGTAGTCCTTTGGGTTTGGATTCATTCTTGCATTTATCTAGACTGGTCATCCGAGTTTAGTTGTCTTTCTGAATATTCTCCTAAATTTACTTCATGGAATTTCTGAAAATTTTATTCGTTTATAGCGGGGGACCCTCGCAGGGTGTCATTAGGAGAAGAGATACAGGAAGAGGAGGCTACTTTAAAACAGTGCATTGAGAAGATTAAATCAGTTGAAGGCAACAGAGAAGCTCTGGTTTCTCGGTTGAAGGAAGCACTTCAAGAACAGGTCTGAACTTACCCCAACTTGATATGTTGCTCTTGATGTATACTTCAATTTGTTTTTAAATCTTTTGCACATATATGGAACAAAGAGGGTTTTCTCGACATTCTCATAACAATTTCTTGTCATGAGTTGCCATAAATTTATGCTTATTTACCTATGTTTGTTCAGGAATCACAACTGGAGAGCGTGCGAACTCAGTTACAGGTAAAACGACTACTTTCTCATGTAGCTACATGTTCACCCGTTAATCTGTTATTTCGCTACCTCTATGTAAAGTTCTGTGTCAGTTGTGATGAGAAACATTCATTGAAAATTTCAGGTCGCACAAGGACAGCTAGAACAAGCCGCAAACATGAGAAGGCGTCTCAATAATGAACCAATTGTGCCATTACCAAAACCAGATTCAAATGGTCCATCCGCAGCAACGGACTCCAAGAAG